ACCGTGGTCCGACGCCCCCTTGCAGGTCAAGTCGGCATGCGAGGTCGTCCTGAATGACCGCAAGACGATCCAAAAGTTAAAATTGCACGGCCCAAAATATCCGTCTCACTGTAAAAAAACAGTGGCCCTCAAGTCGTTGTGTAATGATCAGAGACACGGAACTCCGGGAAAATAAACCCGAAAATATAGAGACACAAATCTCTACGACATAAAAAAAAATTCAGTGAAAAAGCTTTAATATATATATATATATATATATATATATATATATATATATATATATATATATATATAATTGAATAGAGGGGCAAAGTAGTCACAAAATGTCGAAATGTATAAAAAATAGCTAGAAATTATAAAGTCAAAGTGCCACGTCAGCATTTACAAATAAAATTTAAATATAGGGGAGTATTTGGGACGTTTTGTAGTTCAAGGGGGCAACCTGGTACAACCCCTATAGTTCAGGGGTGTAAACTGTACTTTGCCCTTTATTTAATTGGATGGATTACTATTAAAAAAAAAACAAATTAAAATAGGCTTGTAGCACCATCAAGAACCCATTTCTACACTCTATCATCATCATCATTTTCAGGAAAAATAAATAAATATTTAATTTTCTTGGAAATGAAAAATCTCATTAATGACATAATATATTACTGAAAATGACCCGAGCAAGAATTAATTACACAAATTAAAAATGAATTACACAAATTAATTAAATAAAAAGTTACTATTGATTACTTCAATGTAATTGACAAGTTAGGGCCTGCGCATTGAAGAGCTGTCTGTATATATAGGGATTGGCTTTGTCTGATTATCAATTTGATAATCTCTATGTTTAATTTAATTTTTATTTATAGACCTTGACTACATTAATTACAAATTTAAATTTGTAAATAACAATTAATTTCGTTTTATTTGTTTAAAATGTATCACGGACTGTGAATTTATTTTATTTGTACTCTTCTGTAGTTGATTCAAATTTTTGAGCATTATATACTGCATATGTTTTGCATTGTCTACCTGTGGCCACTTTTGAAACAATCCCTGCCAATTTTATTGCAAATACGACAACTTTGAATTATATTCATACATACATACATACATACATATATACGAATTGAAATTTACATTCAAAGAAAAAAAAAAGGAGCGAAAAATAATATAATTTTGGGCTTTGAATTTGATCCTCGTAATGAGTTATAGCATTTGGCAATTGACGAACACAAGATTAAAACACTTTTTTCTCAAGGCCCAATTTTTATTATATTTTTTTGTACAAACATTTTTTGTTTCTTTTATTCATTATAGGAAAGCAGTTTTAGTTTATTACTCATGCTAGTTATGAATGAAAATGGGATGAATCAGATCAGAAACAGTATTTATTGAGAAAAAAAAAAAATTCAAGACGTAAAAAAATAATATAGATTCTGATTTAAAATGTTTCAGAAAGATTAGAAATTGAAATCGAAATGAACAAATTTACTGCAAAGTTGAAAGTTTTCGTGACTAAGAGGGTGTTTGCATAAGCTTATAAGCTGTTAAAACGAGGTTATAAGATGTTTAAGAGTTTATAAGTTCTTCTAAAGTGTTTGGTAGAATTTTTTTAAAAAATCTAAACATTTTTATAAATAAGTTGCTGGAAAGCAAATAATGAATAAAAATACCTTATTAGATCATTGTCCAAATACTTTAAAATTTAATTTCAGAATTAAGACGTAATAGTTTATCACCTCTTAAAACAAATTATCAGATGTAAGAGCTAGCTTATCAGATATTTAAACTAAAATTAGCCAAACGGACCCTAAATCAAAATCGGAAAAAAAAAAACGAGAATTTATTTCGCTACTAATATCGGCATCCACAATGGCTTATTGTGTGTGGACATATAAGCTCGAGTACTAATAAATTGACAGCTAGCCAAGAATTGAATAAGTTTCTACATCAAATTCCAAATTGATTTAATTACACACAAAAATTCCATGATGATTGAAATCATCCTATCCACATGCATTTTAATTAATTTGCAGATTTAATTTATGGAATAACAAATAAAAATGTTTGATGTTAAAATTGCATGCAATAAAAAGGACCACAACTATTGATGCAAATGCAATTCCAGCAACATTCCCTTCAAACCTCATCAGAATAATTTACTTTCTTGTTTTTTTCATCAACTCTTAGCTCTGCTTAAAAGATACCCCTAAAACAAAAAATAAAATAAAATAAATAAATAAAATGAAATAAGATAAATTAAAATAATTAAAAAGGAAAAGATACCCTACCCAAAAAAAGGACCCAACAAAACTATTTCTCAGTTTTCATCTGGGCAGGGAAAAAAAGATAGAGAAAAGGAACTTTCCAACAAAATAAATAAATTAAAAAAAAAAAACCAGAAAAAGAAAAAAGTGATGGAATATGGCAGTTTCTAGTTAACATATAGAGACATCTATATGAAATGTTTTGAATTTTTATTTACTTTTTAATTTTAATTTTATTATATTTTATTTATTTTAAATTTTTTATTTTTGTGTTCTCAATTTCTGGTTAATGATGATAATTCTGCTGCAGCAGCAATTCAGAGATACAATCAATAGGACCACACCAAATTCACTAGACTTGTTGCTGTCATGTGATTATTGTTTTTTTTACTCTCCTATATTATTTTTGAATTCCAATGTTAATATTTAATGTTAATTCAGATAATATTTTTTTTTTGATAAGTATGTTAATTCAGATAATATGTTCTTGGAGTTTTACTCAAATTATCCAATGGTCAATATAGATATATATATTTATTTATAAAAAAAATATAGGAGATTCATAGCTAGGGTTCGTCGGAACGGAACGCGAGGAAACTATAACCAAAATGATTTTTGCACTATGACACATCATATCGGAATGCAGGGGAAAACGGTGGGACGGGCAAGAAAGAGCCACAAAACAGTCGCGACGCGGTCGGAATGGCCGGAACAGAAGACAAAATTTTGAAAATGATCGATTTGACTAAAAATAAAGGAAAAAATGAAGAAAAAAAAAGATCACTCTTCAATTTGGGTCACATTCACCTAATGATTCTCAATGAGAAAATCTTCGAAGCTTTGAACCAGCTCGAAATTCTACATGGTATTAATATTGCATGTATTTTCATAATGTTCTTCCAAGATTGTTGTAATATTTATTTTTAAAATTATGTAATAATATTTTTTATATTATTGTACTGTTATGTTATAAAAAACACATTCGAAATAAATTCTACTTTTTTAGCAATTTAATTAAAAAAATTCCGTTCAAACCGCAATGGAGCCGTGACGTTGCAGTGAAACTGGAACGACAGGGCCCGCGACAATGTACCGGCCGTTCCGACGAACATGTCCAAACCAGTTTATTAATATCATTTCAAAAAAAAAATCCCACAATATTTGTTGTTTGTTTTTTTTACAAAAGAATTTATAGCCACTAATATGCAATGAGTACGTAAACCGTATTATTTATTGTTTTAATTAGGGGTACGGTTCATGAATGCATGACAGAGAAGAAATTTATATTAGTATAAACAGGGGATTGGGGTTATTGATTTAATTAATTCTACAAAAGTGAAGTTAAATAATTAATTAATTATTTTAGTGACTGCAAATTGCAATTAGTGAAAAAGTAACAGTACCACATGGGATTCAGCATGGCATTTATAGCGGAATGTGCCGTTGAAGCAAACCTTTATTTAATTTTTTTTTTTAATTCAAAGTTATACGTTTTGATTTTCAATATTTAATGATCAGAGCAATTTCTGCAGCAAAACCAGCAATAGAATCATTTATTTAATTTTTTTAATTGTATTTATTACTACTATATCCATTCAAATTTCAAGAATCCACACCACAGGAAAGAAAGAAAAAAAATCAATTACCATCCATTCATGTAGAGGTCAAAATGGGAATGAAATTTCTGATTTCACCGATTTCTATTCGAAATTTTCCGATTTTAGAACAATTCCAGTCCGAATTCAGGAATTCTAACTTTAGATTTTTCCGACATTATTTGGATCGAAATTGGAATATATATGAAATTCCGATCTCCGATCTGATTAATGATCCGAAAATAATTCCGTTTTTTTTCCCGAATATTACAGTTACAATACAAATATTATTATATTAATTTTATATTTAAGGTTAGCAAAAATTGGGAAAATCCAAATTCCGCCGATTCCGGTTCCGAAATTTTCCGATTTTGGAACAAGTTTTTTCGTTCCAATTTCCTAAATTCCAATTTTCGATTTTTTCCGATTTTTTTGTAATGAAATTGGAACTAGCTAGTTTTTCACTTCCGAAAAAAAAACGATTTTTTTCCGAAAGAGCTAATTTCTATCCGATCGGTTCAATTTACACCCCTTTGATTCACCATTACCCAAAGTAAGCAACAAAAAACACACAAACACAAATATCATCAATTTCAAGAAAATTAATTAATTTTTCATTAATATCAGAAATTAAATTCAACTGTCATCATCTTCAACCATCGCAAAAAAAAAAAAAAAAGAAAAAAAACATAACAGTGATTCATCACTGTAATCTCCTCTCTACACCTACCAGAAAAACACACACCACAGACAAAAGTTCGTCCGCGATTAATTCAACAAAAAAAAAAAACTAAATTTAATTAAATCTAATATACGCCTAATTAATTAATAAAAATATATATAAAAATAAAAAAAATCATCCATTTTTGTCAGCAACGATCTCATTTCCATCGTCGTTCTCCATTAGAGACAAGCAATTGCTGAGAGAGGAATAAGTTGACGAAGAAAACGAGAGTGGAGAAGTGAAAGAATACTGCGTAGTTGTCGAAGATGAAGAACACTGTTCATCAATGGCGGATGATGTAGATATCGATGAAGAAGAAGAAGCACCGTTGTTATTTTTTTTATTATTTGAATCGGAGAGAGCGAGATGAAGAAGCAAATCGACGAAAGCTCCGACGATGTAGCCGTGGTTGGACTTGCCGTTGACTCTGAGGAAGCAGGTCAACATCTCCTCCAGGCAATCCCATTCCTTCAGGCCGTGCGCCGCCACCATCTCCTCCATCGACACCCTGAAGTCGAGGAACGGGTCGACGGAGTCAACCGCCATTATTGCCACGTGGCTCTCCTTGTACGGGAACCCCTCGTAGGGTTTCGCTTCCTCCAGGATTGACCGGCTCGTCGTCTCTCCCGGCTCGAAGAACAGCCTGTCGGACCTCAAACCTCCGACCACCGCCGTCTCCTCCTCCGCCGGTGCGCCGCCGCCGGAGAAGGTGTCGTCCTGGAAAGAGTAGTCGGGGACGGTGGAACACGAATCGTGGGCGTCGTTGTCGAGGAAAGCTGAGTTCATTGTCTTGAAGATGTTGTTGCCGTCGGCCCGGAAAGAGAGGGTCTTGGGATTGTTTACGCAGGCGGGCCACGGCCAGGCGGCGGCGGCGGCGGAGGTGGCGGAGGAGGAGGTGGAGGGGGTTTCTGTGGATCTGAACAGAAATGGGAATTTCATCTTCTTGCCAATTTTGGTAATGGTTGTTTCTTTCTTCTTTGTTTGAGAGGGAGTTTGGAATGAGGATGAAATCTGATTTTTGAAATTTTTATTGATGTAATAATGTTTTTTTTTTAATTTAATTTTGAAGTGTTTTTGTCTGATTTTGTTGGTAAGAAATTTGGAGCATTAAAAGGTAGTGATAATAAGAGAGAGGGGTTTATTACTTATTTCAATCAATGGGTATGGTGGGCCATTCTCTCTCTCTCTCTCTCTAACATTCAAATATATTTGGCATGTGTGGTAGGTCTTTCATTTATTTGTGGGGCTAAATAGAATTTATTAAAATATAATTTATGTAACATTTATCCAATATATATTTTACAACAATTTGTACACTAAAATTTAAGAGATTACATTATACTCCTACTCTTTTAGATTCTATAAACTCAACCTTTGTGCGTTAGAAATTTTGATATACAATCATTTAATTTTACATGTAAATACGCGATATATTACTAATTTAGCAGTTGGGGCGAATGAGCATCAGCGTAGCTAGAATTTTAAATACCAAAACGCACTGCTATCTGCAAATGTGTTAGTCAAGGGTTTAATTGGTACACGACTACTAATACAAATAATTTGTAATAATATATAAGGTTAATATAGGACATATCTTGACTGTTTTTTCTTTTTTATTAAAAGATTATGTTTGTCAAGATCGTTTAATTTATGTATGTAGTAGCAATTAGATTCGTTTGTGGTGGCCGATCATATAAATATTGTACAATCTAAATTCCATAAAAGAGCATATATAGTATATATAGATGTCGATCGATTTTGATTGGTCAAATAAAGATAATCATTATATTGTAAGGTATTTTCTGAGTCATGTTATTTGTCATGTATATTTCAGAATCTTCTTATGCAAGAGAAATATGAAATATTTTTTAGTGGTCTTACAAACACAAAATTTAAAAGCTGGATAAATAAAAAAAAAATTAAATTAAAATTGGATGTTTAATTAATGTATGATGAATTAGACAGTTAACCACGAGACAAATGTTTTTTGAAGCAGTGGTGCAGTAGTCAAATCAATTTATGAAAGAGTTGATATATATCTATACTAGTGCATGAGAATCATTCACAATCTATAAATATATAATCTACTAATTTAATTTATTGCTGTTACTAAAACGGTACCGTATCTGGATATCCAAGATTGGGAGTTTTCTTGTGACCGGTCCATTTCTCTCTTATGACAACATTGCTTACAAAAATAATAGTATATATATTTATATAAAAAAATAAAAAAATAATGCCAGTTGATTGATATATCAAAAGAAGTAAAGGAAATTGAATGAAGAATAAATGCAACTCCTACTTTTGTATGAATGTAGGTACAGTGAAAAATAGGTCCATGGGATTGAGTAAATGTGAGGCCGTTGAGCTCTTTTATTTCTCATGTACCTTTTTTTCAATTCATTGTGGCCAATAAGGTTGTCTCCATTTTTCGGGTTTTTTTTTCATTAGTTTATTTGTCATAATCGGAGGAAATTACGCTCATTGAATTGGACTAAAATCTCACCGTACACGTGTATTGATAATTTCTCATTTTGCGGATACATGCGTGTAATTATTAAGGGTCAGTGCAGGTTATAAATCCGAGAGTTTTAGCGAAACTCACACATCAAACAACGGTTCTTGATTTTAAGGATTTTCAACGAGTTTAGAATAGGTGTGTTCATGGCGAGTTTATAGTAGAACACAGCCTTCACAGGGTTGAAACTCATTATCAATTAAACATTTTTTTTAATAAATTTATATATTTTACGCGAAACTATTTATATATGAAAATAAATGATCATGCATAAAATCTTAAACTAAAATTAACATATATATGTTAAAATGTGTAACTAAATACAAAGATTATAAGAAAAGATTCAAAATAAAATATATAACTATAGATACAAGTTTGACATATATGAGATACTTTATTTATGTATAACATATTACTAATTTATTATATTGCATAATATAAACAAAACGACGTCGTTGTGTATAGCGGGTCGGGAATGATTTCACGTGTATTAATCTGTTTTGAACCCTTCTTAAATTCGAACCCGCAATCTTCTCCATTTCAAGACCCAACCTATTGATGGCTATATCCATCCGGTTCCAGCAAGACGGTTTTTCTCGGGTGCAATCGGTTGACGGGTCCGAATTGTTCACCCGTAATAATTACCATATATTTTAATTTTCACATTCTATAAAAAAAAAAACCAATCCCGTTTAACAATTTGTGGTCTCACTATCGATCTAAATTCGATTTAGGTGGTGTTTGAAATTTTTTTTGGGAATACATAGATATATAGATTAAAAAAAAAAAAAGATTTTGTAATAACAAAATGGAGTAGAAATAAATAGCAAATAACGTGATCTGGATATTTTAGAAAGAGAGGATAAAAAGAAAAAAAAGAAATGTGGTGGGAAATCATGTGAGAGTATTTATGAAAGGAAGAATCTATCACATGGTACCCATATGCTCAAGATTGAGACCTCTACATAATATACCATCAACACAATCACAACAATTGCTAAAAAGATTAAAAAAATTAAAAAAAAAATACAAAATCTAACAATTCCAATTTCTGGAGTCACAAAATTCCAGGATTTAATTTTAATTATAAAAAAAATCAAGTATGAATCACATATAAAGGATTAAAGCAGCTATTTTTGATCGAGGAAAATAATGGAGGTCTGAATCAATAAACGGTAGGGTCGAGAATCAGCGGAGACAAACATGATCCATAAGCAAATATGACAGATACTAGATTGTTGTCTTTACAGAAAACAATGGACCATACATACATACATATACATACAGACCAGGATAGTCTTTTTCCAGCCAAGTCATGCTTTCGTTTTTGCCGATCCCACAAGACAGGAATCCACTCAAACCTCCTCCCCAAAGCCGCCTTCAATTTCGAGGGTTAATGCAAAGTAACAAAAAAAAAATAATAATAATAAATAAATAAAAACAATTTCCAGGGAATTCATATTTAACTATTCTTTCTTCACTACTAATATTTGCCATGGGAAACGAAACGTATAGAAATGGAAAGCACTTTTAACTAGCTTAATAGCAGATACTAGGCAAGCTTTGGGTAAGACTTAGATCACACTAGCTCAATTGCAAATTCGATTGAACTCTATTTTACAAAATATGTTTTTTTTCCCTTCTTTTTTTCAAAAGAACCACAGGGCGAGTGCGGGGTTAGGCTAAGACCCCCGACTTTCCATAATTAATAAATCAACGAGAACATTGTAGTTTCAGACGAGCTGCTATAGCCCAAACAATGACTGAAAATAACAACTGCCAAAAATAGATACATGCTCAAAATAGCAGCGATTACTATAAATAGATATGGGCGAAACTCGTAGAACTAATTCTCAAGTTATAAGATCTTACGTTATTGCCCGCGCTGTGTTAGTCAAGTTACCTTACATGAGGATTCTTTCTTCTCTAAGGCGAGTTCTGCATAATTACATACTTGCCATGCGGAACAGCTCACCCGACTGGTCTGCCATTAAAAATTGACACGTAAAAAGACATAATTATGCAAATCAAGACATAAGTGTATTCGAGATACATTTCCCACCCCGACAACCTAAGAAATTGCAAACACTGCACAGCCACGAAAGTTACAGATTGAATTGTCCATCATATGTAAATATCTGCATAACGAAAAAAAAAATTAAAGGTCGAAATTGCAAATGGGATTACCACTTAACACTGCCGAGTCACCTCGAATTTGAGTCGAAACTTAGAAGATAGAATTATTACTTACATGGCATTCCCGCATTAACTCTGTCGAAATCTGCCTTCAAAATTGTCATTTCGCAATCACGCTTGTGGATTGTTATGCAATATGTCGTCTAGAGGAAACGACTCAAGCTTTCGTTCAGAGTGCACATAACTGCTTCCACAGACTTCCTCTCTAGGTTAAGCATAAACCACAAGCAGTATCTCAGGTTCCGTATAAACAAATGATATATTCCAGAAACCATAATTAAGGTTCGACAGATTTTTTTCAAAACAAAAGAATAATTTTAATTCAATAAACGAAACCAATTTTAATTCAATAAAAAATTAGTGTTTCAACGAAGCATCGGAAAATTATTTTCGCCCTTCAAGAGATTTGGAGCTTGAATAATCTTCTGCACTTCTATAAACCGTGTTAACCAAAAAAAAAACTACCGATAAACAAAAGAAAACCCATCTTAAGTTCATATCAGCTCATTCAAATTCGTGAACGAAACAACAATAAGATACGAACACTAACAGTAACACATTAATCCAACACTCCATCTTTCGAAGGAACAATTGTCGTGACTGACAACTTTCAACGCACAATGAATAATAATCATTAATGCTGTTCAAGAATATCCAAAATGACGACGAGCATAGAACAAGTAAAGCATTAGCAATTAGGGTCAAGGCATTATCTTTAAGAAGGATATAGTTGGCACACATTGTAAACTACATTACGATACATATTTACACATTTTTTAGGATTTAAAAACGAAGTTTTGAAGATCAAACTAAGATCATTGACACCTTATTTGAAGTCACGTCAGTTCAAGAAGCACCTCTAGCAGATGATTCTTGAAATTCTAAAAGCATCACGTTTCGCAAAATTTCTTCATTCCCCTATAATCATATTTCGCAACATCGTTTAACATAACTTAGTTAGCAATAAGTTCGAAACAACAAAGCTTCACGCTCAAACTTTTGTAAGTCTTAAAGACGAACTCGCCACCTAATAAACAGGAACTTAAACACGAACTATCCCAATGTCTACCATTATCTTTTCGGCTGTTACAAATTCAAGAAACATATTATAAAACTTAACTCCCAAACCACCCAATATATATACACTTCATATAACGTTAAAATTCCAAGAAACAGCATTGTATGTCTCGGTTTCTAAGCAATTTGTATTACTATTCAAGATCAGAAAAAAGTAGCATCCTCGTACCGCATGCTAAATTCTTTATATGAACATATTGAAAGCAAAGGCACTAGATAAAAAAAGAAGAAAATAACCAATCAGAAAAGGATTGGCTTTACTAATTCAACGGAATTATTGTACAACTGGAATAACACCAAAAATTATCATAGAAAAATAAACTTCAATACATCTAAACTAGAGAAGCCAATTATAGACCAAGGATCTCTAACCCATACAGCACGCCGGCATACTTGTCCAGCACACCATCTTTCTCACCATTGTCAAAGTAGACTGCTCTTATCTTCTCAAAAGCATGCCACGTCAGCAGGCTATCGGACCCGGCCTGGTGGCACTTCCCAACAACACGGTACACACCGAGCGAATGCGCCACCCGATCCAACCCACCATGCAGGCCCTGACAGAATTTCATCAAATGCTTCACATCGTAAACCCTGTTACCGAAAATGACCCTGAGCAAGTTCAGGAACTCGGGCAGGGTCTCGGGCAGGGCCTGCCCGGTTATGGCCTTGATGAGATACCCGAAGTCGTAGCCGCTGTGGAATGTGATGTAGGTGACGTTATCGTTGCACAGCAAGCCCGACGACATCATTAGCTCAGCGAAACGGGAGGTGGGGACGCCGAACTTGCGGGTGGACTCGAAGTTGATCCCCTGGTGGCGGAGGAGGTCAATCGAGTTCGGCGCGTGGTCGTCACGCGCGATGTCGAAGTCGCGGAAATTGAACTCCCAGATGAAGCGGCGGTCGGTGAATCCGAGGTCCGGGAGATTCCCGAACGAGTCGGAGAGCGTGATCCCCACCTGAATTAGCTTGAGCGCGTCGACATTGGATTTCAGGGTTTGGTAGTGGTCGAGGGGGTCGGAGTAGGGGTGGTGGTGGCGGACGACTATGCCGGGAAACTCGGTGTCCATCGAAACATAGGAGAATTCGTCGATGATGGCGGCGATTAGGGCGAACTCGTACTCTAGGTTTGTGTACCAGACTGAGCGGATCGAGATAGGTTTTTTGGAATTGTCGAAATTGGCTTCCACCGGCGGCCACGAAGGGCTGAGAGGCGGCGGCATGATGAAGAACGGCGGATCGTAGGCGGTGGCCATGGTGGTGGTGGTGGTGGTGGGGGGGTTCAGATCGAAATTGAAGGTGTGTGATAGTGATGGTTGAATTTGGGGGAAAATAAAAAAACTAGGGCACGATGGAGATTTGGTAATTTGAGAAATAAACCCCAAATTAGTATCACCTGTTTCTTAAACCCCTTTCATTAATTTTTTTTATATAATGTTTAGCATAAAAAAAAACTATATTTTGATTAGAAAACACAAATTTCTTAGTAAATTGTAGGATTAATCTACTACTGAAACTGATACTAAACATTTACTTACCTCTTAATCACCGTACGAGATACAGTC